ATTTCTGCAATAGATTAGCAGTTGCATTACCTCCAACCTACACTGTGCTCACCACTTTCTAACATCAAGCAAAGCTAAAGTGTAAACAAACCATAAAGAAGGAGTGCAACGAAGCAAAATCTTTGAGCATAAGAGAAGAATAACGAGCAAACCCGAGCAGAAATTTTTTTTAAACAAAAGGCAAGCTGTCGAGCAACCAACAGGAATGTCGAGCAAATCAGCAAGAGTATCAAGCAACCCACAAAATCTAAGATCGACCAAGAACACCGCGAAATCGACCAACATAACCGAGAGAACGAGCAAGAAAAACCAGAATCCGGAAGGGAGGCAAGATTGCGAGTGTTGTGAAACTGGATCTACTGAAATTTCTTCCCAATCTCAGATCTCTCGGCGAAATAGGGGAAAGAACGCGATTGTTTTGTTACCTGTGGAGGAGCGACGAAGGCGAGATCGAGCTTGCGATATACCCGTGGAGGACCGAATGATGAAAGGGCGGCTGCGGGGTTGAGGGTAGCCGAAGGTAAAATGTGGAGCTCAAACGCGGATCGCGGGGATATACCCGCGATCCGCGTGTAACACAAATTAAAAAAGCCGTTCTAAAAAACGCACGGGAAACGTGATTTCCAAACGCTGCGGCGGCGTTTTCAAAACCGCCGCCGCACATTTAAGCTGTCCCAAACGGGGCCTCAATTTGCCCTTTATTCCATTCCGATTCCAGATGTCCAGCAAAGCAATTTCGGAAGAAATTTCTGAGGGAATCCTTCCTTTCCTTCCCCGCACAGCTTGATAAAATTTTTGGAAAGAAATATGAGGGAATATTCCTGCGGAGCGAAATATAGGGAATATTTTGATTCCTTGATTCCTCCTCCGCTCCTTTCCGTTCCTGGCCTCCGCTCCTTTCCTTTCGTGATCATCCGCTCCTTTCCGTTCCTGGCCTCCGCTCCTTTCCGTTCCTGGCCTCCGCTCCTTTTCAGCTGAACCCGCGAACGCTCGCCTCAGGCAAGCCTCCTTCGCGATCCTTCGGCCTGTCGCATAAGCCTCCGCTTTTCGCTGCTTCTACCTGTCGCAAGCCTCCACAGAAAAATCTTTTCGCCTGCCCGGAACTCCCTTTCTCCTGCGTCGCGAAAGAGCCCGGATCCAAAAACCCCTTCACGCGAAAACCTGCGTCCTGCAAGATCCGCCGTTCGCAAATCTCGCCCGTTGGCGAAACTTCTGCTCGGACCTCCTATGGCAGAACTCTACCCTATCCGCCAAATCTTCTTCCTTGCGCCGACGAAATTTCTTCCCTTGCCCTCGAACCTTGTCTCTGATACCACTTCTTGGGAAAATTAGGGCGAAGAAAAATAGCAATCGACGCAAATCCAGAAGAACACAGAGATTTAACGAGGTTCGGCAAAGATGCCTACGTCATCGGGAGCAGAGCGGCGAGTTCCTTTCAATAATCAGAAAAGAGTTTACAGAATTCAGAGATACCTCCTGGGGTTACTAACAGGCCTATTTATAACCCCAGGAGTAAACCTAGGCACAATATGTAATTACAACATTACCCCTGTACCAAACCGCGGGGCTTTGCCCCCGCACCCCAACCCACGTAACTTCCCAATTTGGACAGATTCTTCCGCTCCGCTCCGCTTTGATCCAGCGTCTGTCTCGATATGGTATATGAGCCATACCATAACAAATACCCATTTCTGTTTTCATTTCTTGATAAATATGTAATCGTCTGTGAAATGTTATTCAATCCATTGCAACATGTTTGTCTATCTCCATCAACATTTGCCAACAGATTAGAGAAGAAGGTATCAACGCAATTCTATGTTTTTTCTTTCTCTCAAGAACACAATCACTCAGGTAATGCCTACTATTTATCTTCTCAAGAGAAACAGACTGCTGTTACTATGCTAGTCAGTTTGGCAGATCAAACCGACAGTTGGTACACACTGCATGTGTTTTGGAAGAATAGGCTATCAAGACCCATTGAGCCTTTTTAAATTTTCTATAGCCCATAATATTCGTTTATTTTTATATAGATCCCAAGTAATTTAGAATGATAATTAACTAGAGTTTTTTTTTAACTTAATAATTTGCATGTATATATGTATGTATGTATGTATGAATGTATGTACGTTTCAATCAATGTTTGATGTTGTCAGTCCTTCTAACCATCATGTTAATGAACATGAGCTCTTAGCTAGCTTCACTAACCATTTGAGTGTTTGAATGTATGTTTAAAAATGTAAATTTGAATATTTTTAATATAATTTAAAATTGATTTGTGTCACTCATTTTGAATGTCCAAAATTCCGAATGTTATTTAAATTCTCTCACACACAAATGGATGGCGAAGTACCTTTGTGATCGCATGCGCAATTAACCCATTTAGATGGTGCTTGCTATTTTGATGAGACTTTGCATACTTTTATGCATAATTGTATGTGTCATTACATGATCTGTGTATCACAATACATGATGATTTTAATACAATAACACATCATTTCATACATCCGATTTGACATATACATTGCATTAAATGATGCAATGATTATTTATATTGCTTATCCACATCATGATGCTAATGCATGCTCTTTTTTTGCGTGCAATGATAGGAATCATAGATGTTTGTGTAATAGCTGCTAAGTGTAGTAGTCCCCCAGACTTTGAGTGAGGTTTTCCATTCATTCATGAGTGTGCACACTCTTATATTTGTCACTCAATCCAGTCATTTATAGACAAGACTAACGTATAATTTTTTGTACTTTCAAATTTTTTATTATTTATTATGATAGTTGCTCAAATTATACTGAACTATTTTTTTTATTGCACATCCACATATAGGTCTGATTGGCTGAGAATAAACCGTTTGATCATAGTTTGGCATACCTCACTTTCACATGCATGATTGAATCATCTACAGACCAAATCAATCTCTTGTAATGTGAGCAATGGACACCCTTTTTCGTGTTATAGCCCGCTAGTTTGCCACTTATTTTCTGAGATATGATAGGATACATACATTGTATCAATACGAGTCTTTAACACTTCAGAGTTTCTCGGAACTTCTATAATATGTTAAATATATATTAAAATATGTAAAAATAATATAATTTCAAACCACATAAAACTTGATTCATTTTCCCTTTACTGCTAAAATTCATAAAATTTTACTTCATAAAGAACACATGCTTAATCAATATTCAATGTCCGACCCACATTTTGACCTTAGCTCTCCCTAGAAATATAGTGAGATATTTAAAACATGTAAAGGTACAAACATGAAACTTTCGAAGAAGTTATTTATGCCTTCTTTGTATTTTATAAACCCTATGTTTCCCATAATGAAACTTGAACTAAGAAGTTATTTATGTAATGAGAAAGCATGCACAAGCTAAAATTCATTAAATGACCAAACTTGTATAAGAAAAATATTTATACAATGAGGTCATATGCACAAACAAAGTTCATTACAGTGACCCAATATAAGGGTTGGAAATTGATAAATTACAAAAAAACATGATCCAATTCTAAAAGCAAAAGAAAAATTTTACCAATGATGAAGAAATGAATAATACAGAATTGCCAACAAAACTTATTTTTATCTTCCTAATAGATAGCGAGCACGAAGGTTGGCCCCTCTTACTCTTACATTTAGTTCCTCAACATCATCTTGCATGTGATCCAAAGCTTTATTCTGCCTTTAATCACCCAAAAAATAAATAGAGATTGAGATTTGCCATTAAAAGTTAATTGAAGAAAGCTAACTATTTTATAGCAAGGATAAACAACTAATTCAATAGGAAGAAGAACAAACCAACCTTTCAACTTCAGATCCAATGCCTATAGCCATGGCTTTTAGTTCACTTAATAAGTCACTCAAATTTGAAAGAGCATCATCTTGTTTCATTTTCTCCATCTGTTGGGACAAAAAGGAGTAATCAATATAAAACAAGTACAATTTTATTATACTTCATCTCACAAGTTTCTAATTTATAACTATGTATACCTCAACTCTTTCTAGGGCTGATGAAGGGTGTCGAGGATTTGATCGAGACCTTATAGCATTTAATCCAAGCTTTGTTCTTTGCTCCATATTAGTTCTCTTTTTCAAGAGCAAATTATCTGTGAATTTCCTTCCGGGTTAGGGACAGTTTGTTTAAAATGATCATCAAATTCATATTAATTCGTTGATATAATTACCATTTGAAAGAACCGGTCCTTTTATTTCACGACTTTTCTTAGGTTTCCATGTCCTAGAAAAAACTCCCCCAAGACTTCCCAGAATCTTTTCACCCTGAAATAAGCATGTAATCCATGTATAAATTAACAAGAATTTAAATGAATAGGGTGACAAATTTCAGATTGAATTGCTTCTTTGCAAGATAACTACCAAAGTATATTTTTTTAGACTCGACGAAATAACTTATCAGCTCACGTACTACAGAATCTTTTTGTGAAAGACTAGACATGAAGGATTTTTCAAAGAGCTAGGCATGACAGGTAGCCAAAAGAATTAATGTGAAAGAGTTAAGAAAATAGGGATAGAAGGTCAAAGAAAACAAGGCTATAAATAATTAAATAAAGCTGCGTAAATGAGATTCATCGAAGAATTCAAAAATTTGGTCTGAAATACAGGGATGAAGTTGATGCTTTGTGATGAACGTGATGATGGCAAACGTTAGTTAAAGATCAATTATTAGCTGACCAAACTATGAGAGTATCATACTTTCAAAATAGTATGCTTGCAAATTGCAATCATCTGACAGTACAAAATAACAAGCAAAAGCATGGCTTCGTAGTATATCCATAAAAACAACAAAAAATTCATACTTTTAACTTAAGAGATTTATGAACACGGTAGGAAAAAATTTTATAAATATATTGCATACCCTATTAAGTTCATGGTCAATGGTTACTGTTGTTGAATGAGTTCTAATAATCTGTTCACCCTGCTGATGAATGCTGCTAAGAGTCCTTGAGGAAACTACTCTTATTTCTTCAGCAACCTTCATACAACCATTGATTGTTTGTGTAGTTTCTTCTGCCTTGTGTACACAATACTTTTCTAGTTCTTGCACTGACTGGTTTTCAAAATTATTGACAGCTCGAAATTCATTCATGCATCCAATATTCCCATCAGCTAATGTAGAATAAAGAGGTGAAGAAGTGTCTTTTGCATCAGGACTATTATTATGCGACTGATTCGTTGAGGGGGTAGTAGAAGCCACTGTAGATCTATGACTTTTTTTCATATATGGATTGAAAGGGTAGGTTCTAAAGAAAACGGATCCAGGGAGCTCGTAAACCTTGATTTTAGGTGCTTTTGATGATCTAATTTTGGACATGCTGGTGTCCACAGAATGTTTGACATGCTGATAAAGATGTGTCATCGGATGCAGCGAAGATATCTGTCTGTAAAAACAAAAGATGAAACAAACTCATATACATGTAAAATAGCTAGGAAGTAGAAGACTTTTGATAGCTTAATCAGGATAATTAATGTGAATAATAAAATGCATGTTTAATATATTTAGTTGATAATAAAAAGAAAAGAAGAATGTAACACAAAGAAACTTTCCAAAGAAAGGGGGAAACTAGTTGGATGCTATAAAATTAATTATCAGAAATGATAAACCATTTTATATGATGATAAGAATAATACAAGTTATAAAATACAAAAGCAGATAATCTTTGTAAAGGTGTAACAAACCCAACTAAAATGAAGTCTGTTAAATCTGTATCAACAATCTTCAATTGCTGTCTTAAAGAGCAGTAAACGCATAACTCTATGATTGGAATAGTTAGAAAGATTGCAAATAATTTTGATGATTGTGAGTTTAAAAAGAGAATAAACGAAATGAAAAGAGAGGATATTCTTACTCCTATAAAGGATTCATATAACAAAATTTTTAATAGTGAGACACTAGGTACACTTTCACTTATATACATATGCAAAACAATATTATTAAAATTTCTTCAAAGTTCTTTTATTTGTTAGGAACAATTTTCTTTCTTTCATCTCGTCGAACTCATAATTGAAATGAAAATAATTTATATCATTTCTATCATTTTATATTCTTGCCCTCTAAATTCTTTCATTTTCTTCGTTCAGCTCTCTGACAGAATGAGGAGAAGATATTAGATGTATGCAACGCACCTACGAATAGAGAATATGAGGAAAAAGAGTGTAGAGACTAGAGAGAGTCTGTGTACATACAGACGTGTTCTCTTATTAGCTGTCTGCACGCACTTACTATTTTCTCTAAAGAATGAGGGACAAAGCGCAATAAGGAGCTCCCTTTTCTTTGTTTGCTCAATGAGTAATACAAGTTCAAAAACTTTGAAAGATTAGATACCTCAAGAACAGCACCGAGAAAAATAAAACTTACACATCACATACCACGATTTGATGCTGCATATGTATTACTTTCTAGAAATTCAGAAGCAGAAAAGCAGCAAGAGCTACTTAGGCTTTCATCAGAGGTCTGATTGATGCCCAAAAGAAAAAACTTCCTAAGTTCTAAAGGCCTACAAGGTCTATTAAATCTAAAAACATGAGAGCTAGAAGCTGAAAGCTCAACTGAGTCGAAGGAGGAAGAAAACCCAAAAAGGCAAAAACTTTACCTCAAAATCCTAAACAAAAAGCTCTGGGATCCAACCACCGCAGTCTTCGAAGTAGGGAGCCACCGGCGATGTAATTAAAGATCGAAACTTTCTTCGCGCGCTCCCACAAAATAAAGAAAAAAATAGGTGTTTGTCCGCATGCTGGTGCCTCTGTTTTAATAGATAGAGCAACGGGTACGGGACGGCAACGGTAAACTGTTTGCCGGCGATGAATTGGACCGTTTGCAGCGAATCGGTTTCGCTTGCGTGGGGGCTTCATTTCATTTTTTAAACCATCTTTGTTTGACAATGGGATTCAGTCTAAGGCTTTCTGAAATAAAATTTGGTCTGAATTTTATCTCTTCCGCTCAAATAAATTAATTTCAATTTATTTTATTTTTTATCTTCAAGCCTTTTATGATGACGTGTTTGTTCATGGAAAATGCAATTTTTTAGTTTCAGGATTTTATGTAGGAATTTCATAAGATTTCTTAGCACGTGGAAGGTATTTTGAATGAGTTTACAATTGCTCAGTCAATTTTTTTTGGCTGAATAAAAACAGATTCATTATTACAAAATTTTATAAAATTTTATCTTCAGGATCTAATTTTTAATGTATATTTACTCATATACTTGGAGAGAGTCCGTTCTCTTAGTATATGATAATTGGATTACTTGAGCTCTTTTACTATAAATTTTGACAATTGAGTGAGAATTTAAAAATATGGATTAAAGAGATTGCTTAAGGGCCAATTTGGGACAGCTTATTAGGTGTGGTGCGTTTTGAAAATGCCCGGAGGCCCATTTGGTTGTCGTGTTCGATCTGCTTAATTGAATAAGTCGTCTACGGTTTATTAACAAACGCAGTTGCGGGATATACTTCGCAGCCCGCGTTCTTTTACAGGTGTATTACATGTGTGCCCTTTTGACATTAAACAGTTTTCTCCGCTCTAGGTACCTCCTCGCTTGGCTCCCTCCCTCCTCCTCGTGTTTAGCGTCACATTTAACCTCTACTTCCCCCTCTGATCTCTTGTTACTATGCTCTGTAAGTAATTTTCGATGAAATGCCCTTCTATATGCTATTTCTAGCATTTTTTTTTTCAATGGAACAACATTCTTCATGCGATTTCTCATTGAATTGACTTTCTTTATGCTATTTTTTGAAATTTTTTTTTATGTAATTTGGAGTATGGATGAAACGGTGTTATTGATTTGGAATCGAAAAATGGATTACAAAGGGTGTTCATTTGTATACAACAAGTTTTCGAGTGACATGTATGTAATTTCCTCAAGTGAAAATATGGGATGTGGTTTCATCAATTCATTTACTATTTGAGTGGCAATTCGTAAAATGAAGGTAAAAGAGTTATTGATGTGTTCATAACATTAATTCGGGTAGCCTATTTGCAATTGCATCTATTCAATACTACACAATTTTTCCTTTAATGTTAGAGCTATCAATTGAAAAATGGATGAAAGAGGATGCCTCACTTGTAGATGGAAATATTTCAGGTGATGTGTATGTATATGTGGTGTGGTGCTTTCTTGGTGTATAAGAGTGTTGTGGTTTAGGATTGTGGTTGGGAGTTGTGTGCTGGTATAACAGTGTGTGTGGTGGTTTCGGTTCTAGCTGGGTGTTGTGTGTTGTGAGCGGGTGTTGTGTGTGGTTTGGGGTTGTGGTTGGGTGTTGTGTGTTGGTGGGTGCAGTCTGTAGTTTAGGGTTGTTGGGGGTGCCCTATATTTAATTGGACTCAAATGACTTCATTGTATTTTTTGTGTGGTGCTTCATTAATGCATAGCAGTGTGGGTTTATGTGTGTTGTGGATGTTTCATTGAGGTTTGGGCTATGGGATGTGTGTGATGTGGGTTCTTCATTAGTGTACGATAGTCTTGGGGGGCCCTGTATTTAATTGCCTCAAATTAGGTGTAGGTTGTGAGCTATGGTGCTTCATTGAGGTTTGGGTGTGGTGCTTCATTGATGCATAACAATGTAGGGTTGTGTGTGTTGTGAGTGTTTTATTTTGGGTTGTGGGATGTATGTGTTGGTGTTTCATTGTTGTATGTATTGTTCAAGTGCCCTGTATTTAATTGCCTCAAATTAGAAGAGGGTTGTGGGTTGTGGTGCTTCATTGATGTATAACAGTGTGGGTTTGTGTTTGGTGTGGATGCTTCATTGATGCACAACAGTGTGGGGATGTCAGTGTTTTGGGTGCTTCATTAGTGTGTGGGCTGTGAGCTGTGGTTGAGTGTTGTTTGTTGTGACTGTGGGTGTGTGTATGGTGGTTGTGGGTGTGTGTGTGTTGTGGAGTTGTATTTGTTATGGATCGTGTTGTGGGTTAGTGTGATGTGGTTGGTTGTTGTGTGGACTTTGGGTTATGGTTGTGGGTTGTGGGCTGTGAGTTGTGGCTGTGGGTTATGGCTATAAGTTGTGGGAAGTGGCTGGGTGTTGTGTGTTGTGGCTATAGGGGTGTGTGTGTGGATGTGGGTGTGTGTATGGTTTGGGTCTGTGGTTGTGGGTGTGTTTATGGTGGTGGTGGGTTGTGTGTGTGGTGATTGTGGGTGTGTATTATGTGGGGATGTCATTTGCCTCAAATAAAAAATATGGGAAGGGGCTAATGTTTGTTCTCTGGTTAATCCGAAATATTAGTATTTTTGTCTTTTCTTTGTTAGCAATGCAATGGTTAAGACCAAAGAAGTCAGATCATCAGCCATGTGGGTTATGGAAGTCAAGGTCCTACTTTGTAACTTGTGTCTTAAGGTGGTTGAGCTAGGAAATAGACCAAACACCTATTTTAACAAAGAAGGGTGGCATAATATTATGAATAATTTCAAGAACATAACAGGAAGGGAGTGTGATAGGTTGCAATTTAAGAACAAGTAAGATCAACTGAAGTATGATTGGAAATTATGGAAGGAGCTAAAATGGGGATCCACGTGCTTAGGTTGGGATTTAATGAAACATATAATAAATACTTTGGATGAATGGTGGATTGAGAAATAAAAGATAATAACATATCCAATAATTACTTATTTTTTCATTCTTTATCATGCTAAGCTATTTTAAGTAATAAACTTGCTCATATGTTGCAGGTATTGCCTGTGCAAAAAAAATTCAAATTATGTGGTATTGATCCTGGAGGAAAAGTTGGATCATATATTCAGTGGGGTTGTTGCAATAGAAACTCATGCGCTCACCCCAAGTGAGCAGAGGTTTGTAAGCAAACCAAATGACTTAGAGGCCAAGCAATTAAGTGGATTCGATGAAGGCCCCAGCCTAAACCTATAGGGGCCGGAGTCCACATGTCGATCAAAGTGTCCTAGGGTGGAAAAAAGTAAAGAAGAAGCAGCTGCTTTCGTCATAAGCCAAATAATAAAACTGGTGGATGTGTGCACAAGTCATGCTAGCACTTCACATGATACCTCCATAGACGACTTCCTCTGAGTTTTAGAGACATACCCTAAGTTTATAAGGATAAGTCATTGTATCTGAACTCTTTGAAGTTGCTAGAGGACCCGACTAGCAGACATATATTCATAATGATACCCCCTGACCGTAGGGTCGACTATTTACGTTTATTTATGAACAACAAGTACAATTGATTTTGTGGAGTTATTGCTTAGTGACTTTGGTTTTTTATTCATTTGTTTCATGGGATATATTATTTGGGTGTTTTTCTTTCTAGTACGAACGATCTATATGTTGCTCTGTATTTATTTCTTCTCATTATTCTCATTATACTTTAGCTTTGAGTTTTTTTGTGGATTTGTGAGGTCCATGACGAGACGTTCAACATTGTAGGTTCTTCTGGATAGCTTATTAGTCGTTGTCGGTTGTTGTCACGTGTGAAATTCTGATAAAGGCAACAAATTTCCTCTCTTCTTTTCGATGTTGCAGTTTTTGAGATACGTATGGATGGATTTTTTTTGGTTATATGCATATGTGACACATACGGACTTGGTATTGACTAAATTAAAGACAACTAAGAACCTCTGTTTAATAAGGTCTGTTATCTTTTTGTCATGACAGGTTCAGTGGGGTTGGTTTACTGAGTTCTTCGAGACATCGTGCTCGCACAAATCTGTAATTGATTATTGTTTTTGTTAATTTGTACTTGTGTTATGACTAATGAATTATTTTTTTAATCATTTAGGGAAGGTCAACTCTAGGATTTCAGGGACCTCCCGATGATTGCTTTGCCATTGCAGACTTAAGACTTTCCTACTGACAGCACATCAGACACATAGCTACATGAGACAGTTCTACAGGTGTCTGCGGAGAATTACAGAGAAGTGTGACTTCTTCTGGTTGACAGACAGTCTGACAGATTCCACTGGCGACAGTGATCGGGGTTGGATGGTATACTTGGAGGATGACATAGCTCGTGACATATGACGTCTGAATTTTAAAACTAATATTATCATATTCTTAAATACAATTTTAATAGTTTTTTAAACAAGTTTGATACTCACTGTTAAGTGAGGTGTATATCTTATTTTTTGAATTGTTTTGAAGTTGTTTTCTATTTCTCAAGAATCAAATATATTTCTATGACAGTTTTGTTGCAAACAGTATTACTGCACAAGGGCAGCATGACCAGTTATCTAGAAATAACTATAAAACGACTGTTTTCCAACAACACAAACCAAAAGACCAATCATCTTATCTGGATCAATTGTTGTGCAACAGCTTATCTGCAATAGTTTTTTATCAGCAGCTTATTAATAAAATGTAGCTGTTCAAACAATCCCTATTTTGTTAATAAAAAAGTTTGGGATGTTTTCTATGTAATTGACATTTTTTTAATCTTTCAATCATTTCTTAAAGTATTCTTTTCTTAAATTTCATTGTTTTGTCGTTATATCTCATAATCACTTCTAGAGGTTCATGTGTAAGATCGAGCTCAAGCTTATTCTACAAGTTCAAGTTGGCTCATGAGTCTACTTATTTATTATGAAAGAGAAAATAATATTAATTTAAGCTAGTATTATGATAAAATAATAAATTGAATGTAAAATTAAATTATAAAAAATAAAAATTAATTGATATAAAATATTAAATATAATTTTATTTTTTTTAATAAAGTAGTGCATTTTAATATAATTCAAGTATATTTTATGTCAATTATTTTTAAAATGGGCTGACTCACATGCTAACATGTTGGGTCAGGGTAGGCTTGAGTTTAGCCTGTGAACTCGTTAAGGTCAGTTCACAAGTCATTTATCGAGGCAAGCTTGATCCAGCTCATGAAGTAGCTCAATTACACCTTCACATATGACACTTATGACTGATAACATTTGACATGAAATGAATATTATATCTAAATATATTCATT